AAATAGCTTCTTTTCAATTAAAGGAAATTGTTGTGTTTTTTAACTAAGTGGTCCGTGTGTGTATTTATTTCATTGCGTGATTACGACCGAGTTTGAATTACAACCTGTTCAGAGTACCGCAGCCAGCAGTTGATATAGTTTGAACGTTAAACATGCATGAATTACGATCGAAAAGAGTAAAGCAATTCTGTCAGCTGTTCTGTTATTATGCAGACATTACCAAACGATATTTCTTGGTTTGCCACTTGAAAATTGTGTTTTACTTTTTGCATGAATTAAAGCAAAGGAGTAGTGACGTCACTGGACGGCATTAACGGCCGGTCGATTTGTAGCTCAAATGGGGATGTTAAAATGTTGCGGTTCTTTTACACTGATTTATAGGACACATTTTTTGTAGCTGCTATGATGACGTAATAACTGCACAATGAACGAATCTGAAGCTATTTTTGAGCGAGTTTTTCGCCATATATTTTGCCCAAGCAGAAGGCGGATATGAATCCGTGAATGACTGTTTTGAAAGTCTAGGTCCTTAATGATTTTTCTGCATTTATACACGTGTATTCAATAAATTCAGAAACAAATCGTCGAATACGATATCAAAAGCCGTAAATATACTGAAGAATACTCGACCGTCCATAAAGTAGGACCTGAAATCCTTTTAGCGAGAAAATCCTTTTTCAGTGTAGACTTAATCACCTCCTCATATATCGTTCGGTGGCCGCAGCGAGGACCTAGTACGCAATATTTACTTTGGAATATTATCTAAAGCTGTGATTTCAAAATTGAACCTGTGGACCGAAATTTTTAATGGTTGTTGTTGTTTTTTTTTTTTTGCAATTCAAAAGAACATTTCTTGTACACCATGTGCACCAAAAATTAGCTTACTTAACGCACTTAATCGCGTATGCGTGAGTTCAAAATATATCCAAGTAATTTAAGGTGCCATAAAAAAAGACAGAAATTACAGAACAAAATTCACCTACGTTCTCAGTCCAGCCTTTCCTAGCTCAGTAAAACCTCGAATAGTTTCGTTTGTATTGTAACCTTATTTTCTTTCCGAAAATTTCATCACAAAGTAAAACCGGCCGGACCAAGGACCATATACTGTACGTTGACGTCACAACCAAACTATCTCGGATGAGCTATCCGCTTGCGCGCACTTTCGCGATTTCAAATTCTTTATGCAGTAGAACAGTTTAGTTCACTATTTTCAAAGGTAATTTTCCCTTATGCAATCGAATTAATTATTTTTCGTAAATTACGGTAATTCATGAACAAATTGAACAGCTAGCGCGCGCGTATAAGTAAAACCTTTGCTCGTTGGCACTTAGCGATAGCTATAACCTGTCAAATCTATAAAAATTTGCTTACAAAAATGGCGTCCGAAGGGGTCAAATAAAGTGATGCTCGTATCTCTAATACAAGAGCAGTGAAGAACCTATGTTTATTATATTTGTCCATTACTCCACCTAAACTATCTATGATGTTAGTATGAGCTTATTCTGTTGGCCGTCTTCCGTCGACATTTTTAACATTTTGCCCGGTTTTCTCTGACAACCACTCTTAAACTCTGAGAAGTCGGGCCGGGTATTCTGAAGTGTTGCTACCAACTGAACAACTAAGTAAGTGTACTTTACTTTTATAGTGCGACAGATTGTATTATTTCAGATTATTTAGATAACAAAACGGTGAATGCCAGGAAAGACTGGACATTGCTACTAGAAGTCAAACTTACAACCTCACCACATGCGAGAAATGATGTGTTTTCACGTGTAGTTACATAGTACAGTTGCATTAGACTCTAACCAAAATTGTTAATAATAATAAAAAATAATTTCTAGTTGCACTACTGCAACTATATCCTGGAAAAGCAATAGCCTTGTGGTTAGTTGGTCAGTGGGCTTCAATTCACTTCGAGCATTCCAGGAAAGGAACTAGCCCTGGCTGAGTTCACCATGCTGTGTTCTTCGACAAGACACTTAACTCTAACAATGCCTCACTCCAGTAATAATATTTCATTTGGAGGTTTGGGTGGCACACATACATGTAAAAATAAAACCCCAGTATTTAACTGTGAGGATCATTTCTACTTTCAGAGATTCTGTTTGTTTTATTTTGCTAAGAGATTTTTTTCTAGTCAGACACAGAAGGAAGTTAGCAATATTACTCAAGATAAGCGCTACTTTCAGGCCGTACAGAGCAGAAGTTACAGCTAATAGTAACACTCTAGATGTATTTCAGTACAAAACCAACAACAATAAAGATGGCAGGTCCTACACTTGTGTCTACAATAGTTCCCATGCGTCACAGAGTTTTACTAATATCACGGGCTCTCAACAATATTAATAATAACTTAAAATATTCTATTTTCTGTTAAGAATAAGAACTGAAGAACCAAAGTGACCTGCAAAACCCACTACTACAGAGAAGTGGATGAAACGTATCACTACAAATCTTGTTATTATCCATACTAATTTATAGGTCCATGGGGTCTTTCATTGATGGATTTCAAGGCATGGAAATAAGAGTAAGTACAAAATTCAGTTTGATATATGTAGTTTTGATAATAAGGGTACAAAAGAATACTTGGTCAAAAAAGTTTATATTATTTGTTGCATATTTTAAACAAAAACCTCAGTGCATTTAAATCTGGAAGCTTTTGTTTTGGTCTGTTGTATCTGTCTAAATCTATTTGACCAGTCATTTATGGGTATTGAAATTCTGAACTCCCTGTAGCCTCTTTCTAGTATTTTGGTCGTGTATGCTTGACTTCTTATGGGCAATCATTTTGCATAAGTTATTGAGAGGGAAATAGCAGGAGGAAATGGGGAGAATTTGGCATGGGTGGCTTTGACGAAATAGAGATATCTTCCCTATGATATGAAAAAAATATATGTAGTTGTCAAAAAAAATATAGCTATCATTAAAATCAATATAAGTGTCCATCCTGACTGATGGTTTGTGTTGAGTGACAGTGACTAACTTTATAGTTATTATTTTTTCTTGCAGCTTATGACAATGAAGCTTTGAAAGAGGAAAATGCAGTTGTGATACGATAGGGGAACCATAATAAAGTGACTGTTTTATACTGAGTGGTGTTATTTGCTTAACCTTTAGTGGAATGATTGTAACCTATGCTTGTGTACAAAATACAAATCTTGCAACAATTGTATTGTAAACAGAAGAGGAGAAGTATCTGAGAACGGTACTAGCTCAAATGGGGATGTTAAAATGTTGCGGTTCTTTTACACTGATTTATAGGACACATTTTTTGTAGCTGCTATGATGACGTAATAACTGCACAATGAGCGAATCTGAAGCTCATTTAGAGCCCCTTTGTGGTTTCCGAAATGATTTTGTTAGTGCGAAGTTTCTGAGACCAATGTCATGTTGTCATTCGACCTTCTTGCGACTTTTACCGTCAAGTGTAATGATTCTGTCAGTTTTTCTTTCTTGTTTCCTTGTTTTCTTTTTCCCTTAGTTAAGGACCAAATAGCTTCTTTTCAATTAAAGGAAATTGTTGTGTTTTTTAACTAAGTGGTCCGTGTGTGTATTTATTTCATTGCGTGATTACGACCGAGTTTGAATTACAACCTGTTCAGAGTACCGCAGCCAGCAGTTGATATAGTTTGAACGTTAAACATGCATGAATTACGATCGAAAAGAGTAAAGCAATTCTGTCAGCTGTTCTGTTATTATGCAGACATTACCAAACGATATTTCTTGGTTTGCCACTTGAAAATTGTGTTTTGCTTTTTGCATGAATTAAAGCAAAGGAGTAGTGACGTCACTGGACGGCATTAACGGCCGGTCGATTTGTAGCTCAAATGGGGATGTTAAAATGTTGCGGTTCTTTTACACTGATTTATAGGACACATTTTTTGTAGCTGCTATGATGACGTAATAACTGCACAATGAACGAATCTGAAGCTATTTTTGAGCGAGTTTTTCGCCATATATTTTGCCCAAGCAGAAGGCGGATATGAATCCGTGAATGACTGTTTTGAAAGTCTAGGTCCTTAATGATTTTTCTGCATTTATACACGTGTATTCAATAAATTCAGAAACAAATCGTCGAATACGATATCAAAAGCCGTAAATATACTGAAGAATACTCGACCGTCCATAAAGTAGGACCTGAAATCCTTTTAGCGAGAAAATCCTTTTTCAGTGTAGACTTAATCACCTCCTCATATATCGTTCGGTGGCCGCAGCGAGGACCTAGTACGCAATATTTACTTTGGAATATTATCTAAAGCTGTGATTTCAAAATTGAACCTGTGGACCGAAATTTTTAATGGTTGTTGTTGTTTTTTTTTTTTTGCAATTCAAAAGAACATTTCTTGTACACCATGTGCACCAAAAATTAGCTTACTTAACGCACTTAATCGCGTATGCGTGAGTTCAAAATATATCCAAGTAATTTAAGGTGCCATAAAAAAAGACAGAAATTACAGAACAAAATTCACCTACGTTCTCAGTCCAGCCTTTCCTAGCTCAGTAAAACCTCGAATAGTTTCGTTTGTATTGTAACCTTATTTTCTTTCCGAAAATTTCATCACAAAGTAAAACCGGCCGGACCAAGGACCATATACTGTACGTTGACGTCACAACCAAACTATCTCGGATGAGCTATCCGCTTGCGCGCACTTTCGCGATTTCAAATTCTTTATGCAGTAGAACAGTTTAGTTCACTATTTTCAAAGGTAATTTTCCCTTATGCAATCGAATTAATTATTTTTCGTAAATTACGGTAATTCATGAACAAATTGAACAGCTAGCGCGCGCGTATAAGTAAAACCTTTGCTCGTTGGCACTTAGCGATAGCTATAACCTGTCAAATCTATAAGGAAGGTCGACATAACGCTTTTTAAGTGAGTTTTGTTGTGTGTTACTCTGCCGGGATCGGGCGAGAATCTATCCAGACCTATGCCATTCCTGTATTAATTCTGTTGCACAATGTTAACGCTTTATTGATATTTCATTTTTCCCTTCAAGATTTTTGCAGTAATTCCTTTCAAAAATACCAAGATCTACCAACCAGTGGAGCTGTTGATGTTGAGCAGTTCACTATCAATGGAAACCAGTTTCTTGCCTTCGCCAACTCTAGAAATGATACCGATGGATACAACACAGAATCTTTCATCTACAAGATGAACAACTTTACTGAAAAATTCTCTCTCTACCAAACCATCAATACTATGGGAGCAGAAGATATGGAATATTTTACAATTGCTGATAAATATTACCTTGCCGTTGCCAATTGCCGATCTAGATCTACACGGCGAGTGAAGTCAGTAATTTATCGGTGGAACGGACAAAAGTTTGTTGTTTTTCAAAACGTTTCAACGAGAGGAGCATATAAATTTTTTTTTTTCAAGATAGGGATTGAACCGTTTCTATCAGTTGTAAATGTGTACCATGGAAATGTAGACTCAGTCATCTATAAGTGGAGAAACAACTCGTTCTATGAGTTTAAGGAGTTACGAAAAAACGGGCACTATGGAGCTTCCGCGGCATTTGTAATTAAGAATGAGACGTTTATTGCTTTTGCGCATGATCGTTTCTTTTCTGTGTTCAAGTGGTCAGGGGAACAGTTCCTCGAAGAACAATCTAAAAACACGTATGGAGCACGAGATGTGAAGTCGTTTAAAATGAATGGTCAGATATTCCTTGCAATTGCAAACTCTGATGATGGATCGAAAACCAACATTTTTAAGTGGAATGGAAATGACTTTGTCTCATTCCAGTCAGTTCGCACTTATACGGCCATTGCCTGGCATCCATTTGTGATGTGCGGTCAAACATTCCTGGGTGTAGCCAATCATGGTGGAAAGTCAGCTGTGTATCAGGCCATTGGATCACGGTTCATCAAGTATCAAGAATTTTCAACTCAGGGGGCTCATGGTATGACGTCATTTATGCACCGTGGCCACACCTACCTCGTTGTTGCAAATGCTATATCTGGCCAATACGAGTTCAATATTAACAGCACAGTATACAAGCTAATCTAAATATTTCTTAAGAAACATTTACAGAGCAAGAATAAACCGGGTACCATGGATATGTAAACATCAGGACCTGGTTCCTCGAAAGATGGTTAAGGTTAACCTAGGATTAAGCCAATTTTTAAGCAAGGTTTTCTTGTCTAAGAACATGTAACTCGAGCTTACAAAATGCACTTCTCAGCTTCAACTCCGAGATGTAATAATGATAATACAAAATGCTACTCTAAGTAAACAATACATAGGAATCAAAAAATACAAAAACGGAACAAAAATTTAATCCTGTATTAATGCTAATCGGCCTTGCAGGAACCGGGCCCAGGTCTGTAGTTATTGATCGCTAAATAAGAAAACTCCAAGTTCATAAACAAAGGAAAGCTGAACTTCAAGCCTTTTTTTATGACGTATTTAAGTCAGTACTAGCCTTAACTTGTACAAGATACAGCATAAGATATCAATAAAATAAACGAAGCCTGCGAATACAGCCGTCTCTACTCACTCCTCGCCACTTGGGACGTTTCGTGGGGAGCTCAGAGACGTCTGCGATTCGGCCCCCAAAATTCCATACTAATGACGTAGATTTGTCCGGATCCTGGACAACGAGCGCTAATTTGTCCACGTAGAAATTTTGTTCTTTCATCTATTGTTTACGAATGACAGACAAAAGTCAAAAGCTTAGAAGGACCAAATGTTAACGCCATGAATCTCCTAAAAACAAGAAGTATTTGAGCTTTGCTACGGTTTGTTCGGAGAAGAACTCACAACTGTACGATAATAGACTAGAAAAAACAACAGAACAATATACTTCTTGACCAAATGGAAAAGGTTTATACTGAATTTCCATGGTCTTGGTTTTTTTTACGAGAAGTGCCTCTTTAACGAGAAGCACATTTGCGGGTGACAAGAGGAGCCCGCAATCCTAATCTCAAGGTTGTTATCACGAATGCGTCGCATGTATGCAGCCAGCATTCGTTTGGACTTCCACTAAGAATGAATGGAATGCACAGAACGCAATTTGATCACGCGAGTGTAGACCTTCTACTTACTCGTAATCTGATCACGAGTGTTTTCAATTGACTATCTGTCACGTGAAACTTATGGCAGCAAAGCGTTTTGGCCTTCGATCGTTGATTTAGCCACGGCTAAAAGCGAAGCTCCCGATAATATTTATAGTTTATTCCACAAAATATAAAATCGTATAATGCAAAGCGGCGAAGGCAACGCCGGAGAACGGTGAAAAAACAACAATAGGTCTAATTAGCAAAAAAGCAACTTTGCACGTGCAACACATTTTTTTGTACATTTCTTCGCGGTTGTTTTGCACAACTGTAACGTAAAGGTGATGTTACACGGGGCGACGCACAACGTCGATTTTTAACGCAACACAGCGTCACAATATTGGAACACTGTTAATACTATTTGAAACAATGTCGCAGCAATGTTGAAACGCTGTGTTGCGCTAAAAATTGTCGTTGCTAATCGTTTCGTGTAACATCACCTTAAAACTATCAGAAACTTCCTAGTTACACGTTCTATGGAGGAAATGTCGTAAGTGTTCTCGATCACTATTTTTCAATGCCGCTCATTTTTACCTTGCATTGGTGGCCGCTAGCATTTCTCATATTCTCACCGCCATTACAAAAATTCATGTTGTTCTTCCAACAAAAAAAAATGTCTCCTTTGTTTTTTTTTTTTTAGCTTCGCTGGCCTGCCGCCTACGTTCTATTTTTTTCTGTCTGGGGTCTTGCTCTTTTTTCCAAATTTGTGGTTTAAGCTTAATACTTTAAACAACACGGATACAGAAACAATTTCCCCTTTCCGTTCTCGTCTTTTTTTACGCTTTAGTTTTTTCTCCATTATAAGACACGAGTGGCGGTGCGATTGCCCGCCAAA